TTCGTTTAACTTGTAACGATTCACTTTTTCTTCCTCCATGTGATAGAGAAATGTGAATTCAAATGGGAAATTGAGATAGTAAGCAATGTTGCAATTATAAAGACATAATTACTGAATTTTATACTCTCCACATATTAGAATGATGCTGTTAATACATTTCATTGCAATACTCGAATTAATACTGATTTTAAGATGAGGTCTTTTTATTTAAAATGGAAGCATTTCGTAGTTTATTGGCTTCCTCTTTATTAAGATGTAAACAGTGTACTCCTCCTATCTCAAAATTATTATCCGGTTTTAGATTTTACGTTTAGTACAATTTGAACTAAAAATAAAAATGCAAACAAGACAATAATTTTGAGACGGAAAGAATAGTTTTTTAGTTCCACAAATCTTAGAATACTAGTTAACAAAATTATTACTTATATACACAAGAGATAATTGAATTATATCATTTTTTCCCTATGATTTCTCTCAAAGACTATTGAATGAATATCATTCCAAGTTTCAGATAGCTTTTCCAGCTAACTATGTTTTGTGATGTCATTTCCAGCGCTAGAGTTCACTAAATTACAGCATGAAATTTTGGATTTGGTGCCGTGTTAGCTTCAGCTTTCCAATTGTTACAGAACGTTAGCCATGCAAGTAGCGGGGAGGGACAGAAATGTCATGATGAAATTTGTTGTTGTAGGGTGAAGTCAATTTTAAAACTCAATGTAATCAGTTCTCCGTATTTCGAAATGATTGTCCATTTTATATTTTCACCTTTAATTAAAATTATATTGAAACTAAAAATCCAAACTTAACAATAATTTTGAGATAAAAAAAAGTATTTTCTTTGAAAGAAATAGTAATGCTAAAACTAAAAAATAACTAGGTGTTTTTCTAATGTAAAGAGTATTTTCTTTGAAAGAAAGTATTTTCTTTTGGACACTCTCATTTATGAGTGTAATCGAGAAATTTGTTTTCTAAGGTAACGAGTGGTAGGTTCTTGAAATTAATTACCGGATGTGCCACTAGCTGGTAAAGGTTTCTTATCTTACAATTGAAAATCAATTCTGTCAAAAAATTAAATAGAATCTGACGGAAAAGTAACACTCACATTGTGATCAATATAATGTCAACAAAAAAGTGAAATTACACTAAAAATAAATCATTTTCTATAAAATTAAATAGGAATCAATTTCCCTACAACAGGAATTGTCTTTCAAAGATGATTACATTTCATGTTTATTGAAAAGAAGGTTCCGCCGACATACACTCATCTTTGATCCGTTATTTTTATTATTTGTTTTTTATGAGAAAGATATAAGTTTAAACAAAAGCTAACAAAAATCTCACTCCCTCTATCCCAAAAAAAAGGCTCTATGGACTTTAATTATTTGTTTTAAAACTACTAAAAATTTTAAAAGTCCATGTAGATTATGTTTTTGGATTAGAGGTAGTATTATATTCATTTTTATGAAGTTTACTTTATATATCCTCTCTATATACACTGTACTAACATTGCATTGTATCAGTTTTGTTTAATTAAATTTTTTTTTATCTTGACACTTCATAGCAAAATAGACTTTGGGTGACTTTCCCGCTTTCCCTTCAAGTTAATTACATGAACACGGTAAGTTTAAAAAATAAACAACGATTTTAAGGTGGGGGAAGAATTTATTAGAATCTACATAATGAATTCATGTATTTGTAACTACAGTATGAATAACTAGGATTAATTTCGACTCTACGAAAAATGTTGCGCGTTTCAAGGTTAGAAAAGCTGATTAGGGCCTAGGCTTCTTAATTAGATGTGAAAGAATCATAGTTTAGGGTTAAACAACCTATCAGGCAAGGATGAAACTTAAGATCACTTAGAACCCAAACTTGTTCAAAATGAGGGCTTAAGCTCAATCCCTAATCTCAGAAGCTGGTCACAATGATGATGAACCCAATCGAAATGGTGAATCTTATTACAATACTTCCATAGTTTACTAATTGACAGAAACCCTATTAGGGTTCAAATAGATTTCGTTCGTCATAAGTTCTGAAGTACATATAATAATGTCGAATTACATCTAAAGTCCTAGCATTTACAAATTACCATGACATATATATAGTAATAATAATAATCCGAAACAACCCCCCTCAAGTTGGTGCGTGCGGATTCCGAATGCCCAACTTGCCGATGAAATAATCAAACTCGCGCTTCCCCAAATGCTTAGTAAAAATATCTGCAAGTTGCATCCGAGTAGAGACAAAGCTAGGAGATATAGTACCCTTAAGAAACTCATCACGAAGAAAATGACAATCAACCTCAATATGCTTAGTGCATTCATGAAATACATGATTAGCAGCAATATGAAGAGCAGCTTGACTATCGCAGTAAAGCTGAATCGGCTGAGAATGAGAAACACCAAGAGAAAGTAACAAGGATTTCAACCAAATCAACTCACATGTAATGGAAGCCATAGAACGATATTCAGCTTCAGCAGAAGAGCGTGCCACAGTATGTTGTTTCTTGGTCTTCCATGAGATAGGAGAAGTTCCCAACTGAATGAACCAGCCAGAAAGAGAGCGGCGGGTCAAAGGACAACCAGCCCAATCCGAGTCGCACCAACATACAAACGTAAATCAGAATCAGCACGTAACAGAATACCCTGACCAGGGTTGCCCTTCAAATAACGAACAACCCGAAGGGCAGCGTCCCAATGCTCATGAAGAGGATTATGCATAAACTGAGCAAGTATATGAACAGAATAGGATAAATCAGGACGAGTAACGGCAAGATAAATCAGACGACCAACCAGTCGGCGATACCTTTCAGGATCAGGTAAAGGATCACCGGTAGCAAGCGGAAGCTGGTGATTTTGACCTAAAGGAGAACCAGATGGTTTTGACCCAACAAACCAATCTCAGAGATAATGTCCAAAGCATATTTTCTTTGACACAAGAAAATACTAGAAGAATTACGAGTCACCTCGAGACCAAAGAAATATTTAAGAACACCCAAATCTTTCATATGAAAACAGTTACTCAAGTACGTCTTAAAAGCATCCACAACAGAAGAATCATTGCCAGAAACAATAAGATCATCAACATAAACAAGCACATTCAAATGAACAGAATCCTTTTGAAGAGTAGACAAGGAATAGTCAGAATGAGACTGGGAAAAACCATATGACTTTAAAGCCCCAGCAAGCTTAACAAACCAACACCAAAGAGCCTGTTTAAGGCCATAAAGAGAACGCTTCAAGCGACAGACTTGACCAGGAGAACTAGAACGAAAACCAGGAGGTAGTTTCATGTAAACCTCCTCATGGAGATCACCATGAAGAAAAGCATTATGGACATCCATCTGATGGAGCGCCCAGTTTTTCGCAGCAGCAACAGCGAGAAACGTGCAAACTGTGACCATCTTGGCGATGGGAGCAAAAGTCTCCTTATAATCAAGACCCTCAACCTGGTTATTTCCCAAAATAACTAAGCAGGCTTTATACCGCTCAACAGAACCATCAGATTGATACTTGATTTTATAGACCCACTTGCAACCAATGGCCTTCTTCCCCGGAGGAAGAGACTCAAGAGTCCAAGTGTGATTCTGCTCAAGAGCATCAATTTCAAGTTGCATGGCATTGCGCCAGTTCTCATCTGAGACAGCTTCAGCAAAAGTATGAGTACAGTGGCAGACACAGCTGCCAAAAAAATCTGATGTGCCGAAGAAAAAGAATGACAATCAACATAGTGAGCAATAGGATAGGACGTACCTGAGGACGATGAAGAGCCGGGTGAAGGGTTAGGGGGGCGAATAGTATCATGAACATAATCCCACAGACGAGTAGAGGGAATCTTAGTGCGATGACCACGACCTAGTAATTCAGTAGATTCAACAGAAACAGGCGATGGAGAATCCCCCCTGTCGTCAACACCACTAGAAACATGAGGGGATATGGGATCGGAAGTCGGACCCAAGGAAGAAGGAACCACATGAACAATCTCATCATCAAATTCCGAAAGCACATCAGGCCACACCCCAGAAGCAAGAGAAGGAAGCTCAGGCGAAGTACTAAGAGTCGGAGCAAAGTAAGGAAATTCAGATTCAAAAAATTTAACATCCCGAGAAACAAAAAAAATCTTAGACTCAAGAGCGTAAACTGACCAACCCTTTTTCCCAAAGGGATATCCCACAAAAACACATTTTCGGCTGCGAGAAGCAAACTTATCACCAGAACGATCCTGATTATGAACATAGCAAAGACAGCCAAAGACTCGCAAATGATCAAGAACAAGGGGTTTGCCAAACAACATCTCATACGGAGTAGAATTTTTTAGAAGTGGAGTAGGAGTGCGGTTACTGAGAAAACCGGCAGTCAAAACACAATGGCCCCAAAACTCAATAGGTAGATTGGCCTGAAAACGTAAGGCACGAGCAACATTTAAAATGTGCTGATGCTTACGTTCTACACGACCATTTTGCTGAGGAGTACCAACACAAGAAGTCTCGTGAATGATACCATTTTTCCGAAAATAATGACCCAAACAGAGAAACTCAGTGCCATTATCAGTCCGAACAACTTTAACCAACTTATCAAATTGACGTTTCACTATAACAATGAAATTTTGCAAAGTAACAGAAATAGAACTCTTATCATGAAGTAAATAAATCCAGGTTGCTCTTGAAAAATCATCCACGATGGTTAAAAAATAACGAGCTCCACAAGAAGCAGGAGTTCGGTAAGGACCCCATAAGTCACAGTGAATCAACTGAAAAATGTCAACAGAGCTAGAATCACTAATCGGAAATCTGTCTCTAGTATGCTTTGCACGAAGACATACATCACACTTTATTTGACCGATGATGAGAAACAGAAGAACTGAAAGAAAACAACTTTCCGAGTGCCTGGAAAGACGGATGACCCAACCGTTGGTGACACAAATCCAAAGATCCCTCAACGCGTATTGGTGCCGCCACTGCCTCAATAGAGCCACGGAAGAAATAAAGCCCCCCCAATTGTTCACCCGAGCCAATCACCATCCTCGAAATACGGTCCTGTACAAAACAAGTAGTATGAGTGAAATGAGCCTCACAGTCTAAATCACCCAATAGCTGAGACAAAGAAATTAAACTACACTGCAAACTAGGCACATATAAAACATTAGAAAGAGTGATATGCCGACTAAGACAAACAGTGCCAGCTTGTGTAGCCAAAGTCAAACACCCATTCAGCAACCGAACAGCACGAGGAGTAATTGCAACAATATCAACCAAGAAAGTCAGAAAACCGGTCATATGGTGAGTGGCACCACAATCGTACATCCATTGATTGATAGAAAACATACCGGTCAAAGAATTTTCCGAACCTTGGGTGGCAGAATTGACGGAATTCACCACAGAATCCCACTGCTCCTCAGTCAAACCAATTGCAGCAGATTTAATCAAATCAGCGGCAACATCACCACTGTTCACCGCCACACCGCCATAAGAAAGAGAGCCGGATGCAGCACTAGAAAAGGCAGCATGTGCACGTCCAACGCCACGACCTGCAGCAGCTCCACGACCATTTCCACGACCTGCAGCCGCTCCTAGAGCACCACGTCCACGACCGGCACCGCGTCCAGCTCCACGGCCTGAACCAGAAACACCAGGAGCAGCGTCTGATGGCGGATTCCACCATTCGGGGTAGCCTATAATTTTGAAACGATGCTTCGGATCATGGCCAGGACAATGACAGTGTTGGCAAGGAACAACAAGAAAACAACCAGCTGCATCATGACCAGGGCGAGAGCAAATGCTACAAATTTTCTGGCCAGAAGCTGACGGACGAGGCTGCAACGTTGGAGTTGATTTCACGGCAAAACTCACGATGTCCGGGGAAGCTGCAGATTGGCCCTGAGTAATGTTGAGGACGCGTTCTTCTTGCACCATCGTGGAGTACACCTTATTCAACCTGGGCAAAGGATCTTGAGCAAGAAGATTCGACCGGCCGGCAGCATACAAGGAGCTATCCAGTCCAAGCAAAAATTGATGGATTTTTTTAGTTTCTCGTTGACGCTCCGAAGTTGCATCAAGATGACACACACACTTGCCACACGAACAGGTGGGAGGACGTTCGAAATCGGCCAACTCCTCCCATAACTTCTTCAATCTGGCATAGTACGCGGACATTGTCATGCCCTGCTGCTTGGTGTCGGCGAGAGAAGCTTTTAATTGTTGAATACGGGGACCGTTAACCACTGAAAAACATTCACGAAGATCCAGCCAGAGATCAGAAGCTTCATCAAATTCAGAAACTGTTGTGCGCAAACCAGGTTCGATGGTGTTCATAATCCAAGAGACGATCAGAGAGTGGTTTGTCCACCAGTCTTCATGATCAGGAGAATTCTCAAGCGGCTGTTTGATCGATCCATCGACAAAGCCGAATCTCTTTCGCGCGTGGAGAGCTCGGAGAACAGACGAAGCCCATTCAACGTAATTACCTTCACGGAGTTGAACTTGAGAAATAATCAATCCCGGATTATCACTGACTGAGAGATCATATGGAGAAATTGTCTTTCGACGGATGGAAGAATCGCCAGTCTCAACGATTTTCACACCGAAAGAATTAGAATCATCAGTCCCGGTCGTCATGATGAGGAAGAGAATCCGAGAATTTTTTTTTTTTGTTAGGAAGCAAAAGACGAAAGGCGGCTGGAGTAGTGAACCTTCTTTGATGCCATGACAGACACCCTATTAGGGTTCAAATAGATTTCGTTCATCATAAGTTCTGAAGTACATATAATAATGTAGAATTACATCTACAGTCCTAGCATATACAAATTACCATGACATATATATAGTAATAATAATAATCCGTAACACTAATCTCTCTATTTTGAAATATAGGTTATTTTAGGGTTTGGTGAATTTTTTAGATATATGTCGTTTTTACAAATCGAGGCACATTTGACCACTTTTTACCTATATTACCCCTGTATTAGAAATGAAACAATATTTATAATGAATTTGTATTGGTTTGTGATGAATTATATAGAAAATAAATAAGGGTGTTTTTGTATTTTAACTACATATTTTAATATATTCTTGGTTTTGATTAGTTCTCTAATAAAACATATAAAAAAATAGAGAAAAATGGAGGGATGAAGAATTATGAAGGTTCTAAATTTAATAATAAATGTTCATCAAATGCTATCTAGGTGGAGTCAGTGCGTGAAACTAAACCTCCATCAGCCGGAAATGATTGAAACCTCAAAGTCTAGAAACATGGTAGCCGGAATTTATCTTTAACAAACAAAATAAAACAAACGGGATTAAAAAAAAAGAAAAGGAGATTGCGGTAACTATTTCATTTGGAAAAATTAAAGGGTTATTTCCTATATATGCGTTCCGATTGATTAAAGATGCATTTGCTCTGTAATCATGTACAATAACAAAAACAGTTTTTCATATATATATTCATAACCTTGATTACACATGGCTTTTGTCCTTTTGTCTTCAATCCTATAAAATATAATTCTATACTTCACAAAGACAACAATATTACAATGCAAAATTAAACAAGTACTTTGCATTTCAATAGAAGTACTGTACTAATGACATCTGAGAACCGCCATTTCAATGGCAGAGAGCTCTCTTTTTTTCTTTTTTTTTTTTAACAAAAAAACAAAGACTAACTTTTATCTAATCCCAAATCCCAAATCTCCAAATATGACAAGTTGCAATTAATTACCAAAGCGGAAATTAATTCTCCCGGTCATCAAACAAACAAGGATCGTTGACCGATCCAGCTTGGGCTGTCGACCACCGGAAGATCCGCCCAATCAAAAGCAACAGTACCTTCTTTTCCTCGGTCCAGCTGCTACCGGCTCATCAGAAACCGGTTCAGTCTGCTGCTGATGATGGATTAATGGTATCCTGGTGGTGATATCATCAGGCAAACTGGGCTTAGAAGTGTCACCGTAGAGCCTCCGCGCAGCGGACTCGTACGCCATAGCGGCCTCGTGGCAGTTATTGAAGACACCTAACCAGAGGCGCAAACCTTGGGTTGGTTCCCGGATTTCCGCTACATACCGGTCCCGTCTCCCCTGCCGCACTCCTCGGTACGTGCGCGAGGAGTTTTCCGGCACGCTGTGATTACTATTGCCCCCGGATAAGATTGATGTCATCATTGCAAACTGCTAAAGAAAATGATACAGAAATTGTAATTGAGAAGTTATAATGAGATTGGTGAGAGGAGTGAGGGTATGTATTTATATTTTATAGTGGTGGGAATGGGGTTGAAGTAGTGATCTCACTGCAAAATTAATGAAATGCAAGGACCAAAAAGAGAAAAATAATTATGCATGGAAAAGAGAAAAGCCTGGTTTACGTGTCTTCTCCCTTTGTACATTACGTGCCACATAGCAAACCTTTCTCACGATTCAGTTTGTTTTGTTGCAGTGATTCCTTTCTTTTTTTTTCTTTTTTTTTTTATAGTTTTCTTCAACACAAACACTAAGTTCCTATTACAACTTCGTTTTCGTGAATTCCATTTGGGTTCATCCTTTTGGGTTTTGTTTCGCCATATACTTTCTATCATATAAAAATATAATTAATTCCTTAAAAGGTTTCTAATAACATGAACATTCTCCCAACTAGAGTGTGCAATATTTATCTACTTAGAAATAAGTCTACTATAGCTGAAGTGTTCAGTATTATCAACAAATGCTTGGGCCTCGCTATAGAAGTATTACGAAGTTAGCAAAAATGTGTTAATTTTGTAAACTCGATTATTCGACTACTAAATCATAATATTTGTTTCGAACCTTAAGTTTTAGTGTTGGTTGTATGGTTTTTTATTCAATAAACACGGTTCGGTTTGTTAAAAAATAATCATTCGCGTATCAGGGGCGGAGGTACATACACCCGAGGTGGGGCAATTGCTCTAGCTGAAATTTTTTGTTTTGTTCATTAAACCTGAAATTTTAGATTTCTTTTACAAAATATTAATTTTTGCCCCACCTAAATTTAAGATAATAAGGGGAAAATGTATTAATCTATAAGTGTTGAAAATTTTGCCCCATCATATCTTAGGGACTTGGCTCGCCCCTGTCGCGTATCCTTTTTAAATGTAACGAGATCATACATAAGCTAGTATACTTGGACGGGAATGAACAAACGTGACCATTTTGATCCGAGAATATATTCCAGGGTGTAGAACTGATTGAGCAGGGGATCGATCTCGGGTAGACGTACATGACCCCAATGCAACTGTGAGCCATTGTTAGATGAACCCTGTAAAAGGACGAACCGTACACTGTTTTCTGATGGCGTATCCTCTCCGGATAATTATCCATATCAATATCAGGTGGGTTCATTGAAACATCTGCTGCATTTTAGCATTGAATTTGGACAGCAGGGAATCATGGAACTGATTTTGTTCCCGAAATTGTATGTACAGTATTTCTTTCTGTTAAGGTCTTTTTTATTCCATAAGGGTGCATTTCGTGGCTTTTTTAGTTTCTCTTCATTAAGATGGTTAACATGACTAGTTTTTAACATTTCCTCATTTCTCAGAATACAAGTAATCAACAAAATAATGACTTATATTCCCGGATGAATTACTATATGTTTTGTAGCCTGATCTCGCGCGCAGAGACTACAGAATTGAATCAATTACAATTGAGAAGGTGAATGAATCTCATCTTGCAAGTTTCAGACAGCTTTTCCAGCTAACTATGTTTTATGATGTCATTTCCACCGCTAGGACTTACTATATTACAACATGAAATTCTGGATTTTGTGTCGTGTTAGTTTCGGTTTTTCCAATTTTTACAGTACGTAAGCCATGCAAGTAAAGGGGGAAAAAACAGAAATGTCATGATGGTTTGTTGTTTCCGTTTAGAAAAATATTGTTTCATTGGGGAAAAAAGTGTTTGTTCAGACATATATATCTGAGAAAATAATTGCGGTTTCCTATTTTCCGATTGATTAAGGAAGCACAAATGTTTTTTGGTTTTTTTTTTCTGTAAAAAAAAGAGCACCCAGACAGATTAGCTCAACAATTCTAATGACGTACGAAAACAAAAACAGTTTTCATAAATTCATAACATTGATTACACAAGGCTTCTAAATCCTATGCATTCATAACTATAGTACTTCGCATTGCAACTGAAGTACTGTACTAATGACATCTGAAAACCGCCATTTCAATGGCATTTTTTATTTTTACCCAAAAACAAACCTAACTTTTGTCTAAATCCCAAATCCCGAACCCCAAATATGACAAGTTTTAATCAACCACCACGGGTAATCTGTCCAGTAGCCGGCTCCTTTTCCGACGCCGGTTCAGTCAAAGGCATCCTCGTGGTGACATCATGATGATGATCATTTTATGGCAAATTGAGCTTAGCAGTTTCACCGTACAGCCTCCGTGCAGCAGAGTCATACGCCATCGCTGCCTCATGGGAGGTATTGAACGTACCTAAGAAGAGGCGCGAACCCCGGGTCGGTTCCTTGATTTCCGCCACCCATCCGCGGCCCGACAACATCTGCCTTACCCCTCTGTACCAACACGAGGCGTTTTCCGGCGGCCCGTCATGATTACCATTGCCAATATTATTCCTGCCGCCTCCTCCATTGTTCCGGCCTCCATTGCCGCTAGAGCCACCGCCGGAGAAGCCTGCTGTCATCATGATGATGTTGTTACTGCTTGTTTCTTAATTACAAACTGGAAAGGAAATTTTTAGAGAAAAAATTGATGAGGTGGATGAGGACTGACGAGTTGGGGGGTTTATTTATAGTGGTGGTGGGAAATGGGAATGGGAAAAGTTGTGATTACTGCAAAGTAAATGAAATGCAAGGACTAAAAGAGAAAGATAATTATGCATGGAAAATAGTAGGAATAAACGTGGCTTTACGTGTCTTTCTTTTTTGTGCATTTCATGCTACTTGGCATTCGCAAGACCTTTCTTTGTCAGAGTTCAATTCGTTTAACTTGTAACGATTCACTTTTTCTTCCTCCATGTGATAGAGAAATGTGAATTCAAATGGGAAATTGAGATAGTAAGCAATGTTGCAATTATAAAGACATAATTACTGAATTTTATACTCTCCACATATTAGAATGATACTGTTGATACATTTCATTGCAATACTCGAATTAATACTGATTTTAAGATGAGGTCTTTTTATGTAAAATGGAAGCGTTTCGTAGTTTATTGGCTTCCATTTTATTAAGATGTAAACAATATACTCCTTCTATCCCAAAATCATTGTCCTGTTTTAGATTTTACGTTTAGTACAATTTGAACTAAAAATGAAAATAAAAGCAAGACAATAATTTTGAGACGGAAAGAATAGTTTTTTAGTTCCACAAATCTTAGAATACTAGTTAACAAAATTATTACTTATATACACCAGAGATAATTGAATTATATCATTTTTTCCCTATGATTTCTCTCAAAGACTATTGAATGAATATCATTCCAAGTTTCAGATAGCTTTTCCAGCTAACTATGTTTTGTGATGTCATTTCCAGCGCTAGAGTTCACTAAATTACAGCATGAAATTTTGGATTTGGTGCCGTGTTAGCTTCAGCTTTCCAATTGTTACAGAACGTTAGCCATGCAAGTAGCGGGGGAGGGACAGAAATGTCATGATGAAATTTGTTGTTGTAGGGTGAAGTCAATTAATGTGATCCTGGATGGCCTGTTGAGTGTTATACCTAATTTAGATGATCATTAACATTGATTGTGATCACATATGGAGTGTATGGTATAATATTGAGGTTAGAATTAAGGATGATGGATGATTGAAGCCAAGATACCGTCCGCGTCAACCTAGAATCAAGTCGACAATGAAGTCAATAAGTTCACGTCGACCTGATGCCCAAGCAAATGAGATAGACGAGAAAGCTGATGAGGTTTGCATCGATGTTTTGGCCGAGATGAAGAAATCAACAAAGAAGTCGACAAGGTGCCGTCGAGTTCATGGCCGAGCAAAGGAAGTCGACAGAATGGTCGACTGTGACGCGTCGAGGTTCCTGTCAATCGACGAACAGGTCGATGAAATCGGGCAGAATTTTTCAAATTTTCTATTTCGATTAGGAAAAGGATTTTTTGGTAATTTAATCCTTATGGGCGACTCTCGTAGCCTTCTAGAAGATTCTACTTGGATTTAATTAATTGGGACATGTGCAACTATTTATTTAAATATTAATTAAGTTATTCTAGGAAATTTTAGGAAGTCAAATCCGATTTGAACTTGTATTGGGATTTCTTTTTGTCCAAGTCAACTTATGCCTATATAAAGGGGGCTGGTCGACCAAATTGTATGTGCTTTGATTATTTATGATTTTTCAATACGAAAAGAGAGGAAACTCTTTTTTTTGGTGAAATGTAAATATATATTGATGATCTGCAACATGCACGATTGTTACCACTTACAGTCCCAAATTCATCTCCATCTACTCTATACACTGTACTAAGCATATATACATTTAGTAACAAAACTTGCTGGCTCACAAAATTAACTAAAACATTGCTTAAGTACTTCCTCTTCTCTAGCACTCTACCTGTGTTTTCTGCCCAAAAACCTGCATTTCGCTTCAGCTTTGACCACTTTAAGAATTTCATCAGCTTGCCTTGTGTCTCCTGTGAATACCCTTCCATTCCGTTCCTCCCAAATATGGTAAATGATCGCAGCTATTATGTCCCATAAAACTCTTCTTTTCAATTTTGCACCTTTCTTGCACCTGCCACCTTGGCCAGGTTGCTGAAAGTCTTCTACTCCCAGCCATCCTTGAGCCTGATCCAGTACCTTAGCAGCAAAGTCACATTGAAAAATAGATGTGGCACAGACTCATCAGTCTGATTACAGAGTACACAATGCCTCTCTGCGACAGGAACATTCATCCTGAGCAGCCTGTCTCTAGTAAGTAGTCTCTGTTTCCATGTTAACCAGCTAATGAAAGCGTGTTTCGGGACATTCAGACTGGACCAAACACATTGAGCACATGCAAACTTATCCCTGGTTCCCATGAACCATTCATATCCCGATGCAATGGAGTATTTCCCTCGGGCATCAGCTAACCATTTGGTCCCATAAAACCCAGCCTTAGCCTGATCTCTAATCTTCAACATTTGCTTCCAATGCCAGCTACTATCCACCTTGGGTTGCACTTCCCACACTGTGGACTTCTTTATATAAACAAAATGAATCCACTTAACCCACAGATTATTAGTTTTCAAAGCTAGGCACCACACTTGTTTTAATATAGCTGCTTTGTTCCACACTTTAACATCTCATAAACCTCATACTGACTTTTTCATACAGCATTCCTCCCAGTTAACTAATGACCTAGCTCTGCCATTACTTTTGAACCCCTATAAGAATTTTCTACAGATTCTATTCACAGAGCTAGTTACACTTTGCGACAATTCAAAAATGGATCCCCAATACACATGCATTGATAACAAAATAGAATTGACTAATTGCACTCTACCTGCGTATGACAGGTGTCTAGTGCTCCAACATTTAACACGAGTGACCATTTTGTTTATAATGACTTGACAATCTAGCTGGGACCGTTTTTTAGGGGAAAGGGGAGCACCAAGGTATTTCATAGGGAATCTACCTGGTTTGAAATCAGTCAATCTGCAAATCTTGTCCAACTGCTCTTTGTTTACTCCACCAGTGAATATTTCGGAGTTTTGCTGGTTGGCCTCCAATCCAGTGACCTTGGAAAATCCCATGAAGACTTTCTAGACTCCTTCAATGACGCCTTATCAGCTTTATAGAAAACCATGAGGTTATCTACAAAACATCGATTGGTGAGCTTCAGTTCTGCGCAAAGGGGGTAAAACCTGAACCATGGTTTCTGGGCTAACTTCTTCATGCTTCTGGTCAGGTACTTCATCACCATCACAAAAGGTAAAGGCGATACAGGATCTCCCTGTTGCAGTCCTCTCCTACCTCTGAAAAGCCCTGAGCAGCTGCCATTTATCGACACTGAGTAGGAAGTGGATGAGATACAAGCGATTATTCAGTCTCTGAACATCTCCTAGAAACCATAACCATCCAGCATCTCCGCTCGAAATCCCCATTCGACCGAGTCATACGCTTTCTTTATATCTACTTTCATTAATATCCTCCCACTGATACCCTTTCGCCTATAGTGTCTTGTGAAATCATAATATTGTGCAATATTAGCCTATTTTTTACAAAGGTATTTTGGTTTTCATCTACTAAGCATGCTAGAACAGGATTTAGCTTATTACATAGAATTTTTGAAATTCATTTATAAATAATATTACAGCATGCAATTGGTCTGAATTGCGAAGCATTTACATGAACTTCAATTTTCAGAATTAAAGCTAATAAAGTAGAGTTATTTGCTTTAATACCTGTCATGTGTCGAAGAATTCCAGCACTGCATTCGTCACATCATTCTCCACCACTGGCCATGCTATCTTGTAGAATCCAGCACCGTACCCATCAGGGCCCGGGCTCTTGTTGATGTTCATTCCCTAATGGCATCTTTCACCTCCTTTCTAGTCACTTGTTTAATCATCTGCAATTGCTGCTCCACCGTAAGTTTGTTGCCAAATTTAAACACTTCCTGGTCAGCTGTTACCCTACTAGAAGCTTGTCCCAGCAGCTTCTGAAAAAAACTGAGGAAGTGATTCTCAATCCCTTTCACATCTCTTACTGTTTCTCCATTGTCATCTATTATGAACCAAACCCTATTCCTCATGTTCCGTGCCTTCAACTTTGAATGAAAAAATGCAAAGTTTTCATCACCAGCTACCAGCCAATCCTCCTTGGGTTTCTGTTTCAGGAAACTTATCACTGCGGTACTGGACTTCATGTACTTTCCATATGCTTCTCTCTCCTTCTTCTGTATTGCCTGATCCTCTGGTTGTCTAGCTAACGTCTCCTGTATCTGCTGCAACCCCTGTTGATCTAGTTCTGCTTGTATAACAATGTCTCCGAATTGGTCTCTATTCAGTTTTTCGAAACAAGCTTCAACCTCTTGAGCTTCACACCCAGCTGGAACATATGAGTCCCTCTCACTGGACTTTCCCAACGTTTCCTCACAGTTTCCAGATACGAAGGAGAGTGGATCCACATGTTAAAAAATATGAAGGGTTTCATTGCTTTGATCATCTTTTCTTGTAACTTAACCAGGATCGGGGAATGATCAGAAATCCCTTCCGGTAAGACAGTCGCCACTGATTCATCAAATCTGTCCACCCATTCTCCGTTTACTAAGGCTCTATCAAGTTTGGAGTAGATACGTTCACTCCCTATTTGCATATTGCACCACATTAAGGCTCTACCCTGCAGCTTTAGGTCCCCTATACGACATTCATCAATGCAGTCCTAAAAAGCTGCCATGTCTACAATATTAATTGGCCTACCCCCCATCTTCTCGTTTGGTTTCAACACATTGTTGAAGTCACCCATTAGTATCCATGGACAATTAATATTCTGTGATAAACATTTTAGATCCTTCCACAATTCCCATCTCTTCTCTGCCACGTTACTTGCATATATGCCTATGAACATGAATTCTTGATCATCCTGCTTTAATCTAACCGAACAATGCAAAAACTAACTTGACATTTTCTCACTTGAACCTCCATACTGTCATCCCGTAGGACCAGTATTCTGCATTTTTTGTTCCCCATTGTGTTACTTTGCCACTTCATATCAACCCAATTCTTCATCATAGACTCTACCCCTCTTTCAGAATTCAGTTTTGTCTCCACTATACAGGCTAAATTTACTTTATGTAGGTTAAGCAATTGACGTAATTCCTTCTGCTTTACAGGGGAGTTGAGACCCCTTATATTTCATGTAAATAGACTACTTATTGGGATCAGGATCAGGATCCAGCATATTACCCCCTTCTACAAGGTTCCTATATTGCAGTCCAACTATGGTATCAGACTCAGTAATAGCTGCTTTGGACATTCCCCCCTGGGTTTGCCCATCAGCTACTTCCTTTGTAGCCAAGACACTATAGTTGTTCCTAGTTAGAATCTTCACCCATTGTGGTTTTTCCCCCTCTGAGCCAAGCTATTCTCCATTGATGTAGTGCCTGTTTTAGTCTTCTCATTAAAATAAGATGACTCAGCAGGCCCCTCCTCAGAACCTTGGAGAACAGAGAACAGTTTGCTCATTATCAAGTTTAGCAACATCATCATCCTTCTTACCTATTTTTCTCCATTATAAGCTATTTTGCCTAGGAAATGGTTTAAAAGGCTCAACTTTCTTTACATTCCTCCTGCATTTCTCAGTCCTGTGCCCATATCCATTACAACATCCACACTTCGTGGGTGTCCATTCATAGGTGATCCTCTGCACTCTCACTATTCCCTTTTAATCTTCAAATACAATTTTCTCAGGCACACTATCGTCAATTTGCATTTCCACTAACACTATAGCATATTGGATCCTGGTTTTGTTAACAGTTCATTCATCAACCATAATGGGGCATCGAATCGTGCTAGTGATTCTACCCAGAGAGTCTAGATTCCAAAACTTAACTTCTAGCCCATGTAGTTGAATCACACAGGGACTTTAGAAACTTCTTTATAGTTTAATCCTTTTTCTACATCCCATGGTTTAACTATCAGAGGTTTGGTTTAACAATGATAGATATTGGCGCCTAATACTTCATCCCTAGCTTGAATTGAATTACATCTCACAACAAAGAGGCCAGTAGGAAGTAGAAGTACCTTGTCGATGCCAAAATTACCCCATAGCTTCTTGAAGAACTCCTCCATCACCTATAGTGGAGGGTTGGCACCAAGGACGAAGCTCACTATGGACGATTCCTAGTACTCCACTTCAATCTGCACTTTCTCCTTATGGATTTGGGCTTTTTGCCCGTCCACAACCTTCGGGGCAAAGTATGGGATTTTCCCTCCTGGTTTTCGCATCTTCGAGACATCAAACGTTTTCCAGGGGTTGGGATTTGCCTCTTGCTCCACCTTATCCGACTAGCTGAGTCTCCTTGTAACCGATCTAAGCTCTGGCTTCATGCTTGCTTTGACTGATTCGTGCCCTTTGTTGGATCGCTCTTTTCCCCAATTTTATTTGCGATGGGAGTTATATTAGGGTTTGTCAATTTTTGCTTTTCCCGCTTCTATTCACTCTTCTGACCAGATATCT